GTGTATTATTATATAATAATGTAACACATCTCATTATAGTGTATTATTATATAATAATGTCACACATTATCTCATTATAGTGTATTATTATATAATAATGTATTAATATCTCATTATAGTGTATTATTATATAATAATGAACACATTATCTCATTATAGTGTATTATTATATAATAATGAACACATTATCTCATTATAGTGTATTATTATATAATAATGAACACATTATCTCATTATAGTGTATTATTATATAATAATGTAACACATTATCTCATTATAATGTATTAATATCTCATTATAGTGTATTATTATATAATAATGTAACACATTATCTCATTATAGTGTATTATTATATAATAATGAACACATTATCTCATTATAGTGTATTATTATATAATAATGTAACACATTATCTCATTATAGTGTATTATTATATAATAATGTAACACATTATCTCATTATAATGTATTAATATCTCATTATAGTGTATTATTATATAATAATGTAACACATTATCTCATTATAGTGTATTATTATATAATAATGTAACACATTATCTCATTATAGTGTATTATTATATAATAATGAACACATTATCTCATTATAGTGTATTAATATCTCATTATAGTGTATTATTATATAATAATGTAACACATTATCTCATTATAATGTATTAATATCTCATTATAATGTATTAATATCTCATTATAGTGTATTATTATATAATAATGTAACACATTATCTCATTATAATGTATTAATATCTCATTATAATGTATTAATAGCTCATTATAGTGTATTATTATATAATAATGTAACACATTATCTCATTATAGTGTATTATTATATAATAATGTAACACATTATCTCATTATAATGTATTAATATCTCATTATAATGTATTAATATCTCATTATAGTGTATTATTATATAATAATGTAACACATTATCTCATTATAGTGTATTATTATATAATAATGTAACACATTATCTCATTATAATGTATTAATATCTCATTATAGTGTATTATTATATAATAATGTAACACATTATCTCATTATAGTGTATTATTATATAATAATGTAACACATTATCTCATTATAATGTATTAATATCTCATTATAATGTATTAATATCTCATTATAGTGTATTATTATATAATAATGTAACACATTATCTCATTATAGTGTATTATTATATAATAATGTAACACATTATCTCATTATAGTGTATTATTATATAATAATGTAACACATTATCTCATTATAGTGTATTATTACATAATAATGTAACACATTATCTCATTATAATGTAACACATTATCTCATTATAGTGTATTATTATATAATAATGAACACATTATCTCATTATAGTGTATTATTATATAATAATGTAACACATTATCTCATTATAGTGTATTATTATATAATAATGTAACACATTATCTCATTATAATGTATTATTATATAATAATGTAACACATTATCTCATTATAGTGTATTATTATATAATAATGTAACACATTATCTCATTATAGTGTATTATTATATAATAATGTAACACATTATCTCATTATAGTGTATTATTATATAATAATGTAACACATTATCTCATTATAGTGTATTATTAACTCATTATAGTGTATTATTATATAATAATGAACACATTATCTCATTATAGTGTATTAATATATAATAATGTAACACATTATCTCATTATAGTGTATTATTATATAATAATGTAACACATTATCTCATTATAATGTAACACATTATCTCATTATAGTGTATTATTATATAATAATGAACACATTATCTCATTAAAGTGTATTATTATATAATAATGTAACACATTATCTCATTATAGTGTATTATTATATAATAATGTAACACATTATCTCATTATAGTGTATTATTATATAATAATGTAACACATTATCTCATTATAGTGTATTATTAACTCATTATAGTGTATTATTATATAATAATGAACACATTATCTCATTATAGTGTATTAATATATAATAATGTAACACATTATCTCATTATAGTGTATTATTATCTCATTATAATGTATTATTATATAATAATGTAACACATTATCTCATTATAGTGTATTATTATATAATAATGTAACACATTATCTCATTATAGTGTATTATTATATAACAATGTAACACATTATCTCATTATAGTGTATTATTATATAATAATGTAACACATTATCTCATTATAGTGTATTATTAACTCATTATAGTGTATTATTATATAATAATGAACACATTATCTCATTATAGTGTATTAATATATAATAATGTAACACATTATCTCATTATAGTGTATTATTATCTCATTATAATGTATTATTATATAATAATGTAACACATTATCTCATTATAGTGTATTATTATATAATAATGTAACACATTATCTCATTATAGTGTATTAATATATAATAATGTAACACATTATCTCATTATAGTGTATTATTATATAATAATGTAACACATTATCTCATTATAGTGTATTATTATCTCATTATAATGTATTATTATATAATAATGTAACACATTATCTCATTATAGTGTATTATTATATAATAATGTAACACATTATCTCATTATAGTGTATTATTATATAATAATGTAACACATTATCTCATTATAGTGTATTATTATATAATAATGTAACACATTATCTCATTATAGTGTATTATTAACTCATTATAGTGTATTATTATATAATAATGAACACATTATCTCATTATAGTGTATTAATATATAATAATGTAACACATTATCTCATTATAGTGTATTATTATCTCATTATAATGTATTATTATATAATAATGTAACACATTATCTCATTATAGTGTATTATTATATAATAATGTAACACATTATCTCATTATAGTGTATTAATATCTCATTATAATGTATTAATATCTCATTATAGTGTATTATTATATAATAATGTAACACATTATCTCATTATAATGTATTCATATCTCATTATAGTGTATTATTATATAATAATGAACACATTATCTCATTATAGTGTATTATTATATGATAATGTAACACATTATCTCATTATAGTGTATTATTAACTCATTATAGTGTATTATTATATAATAATGAACACATTATCTCATTATAGTGTATTAATATATAATAATGTAACACATTATCTCATTATAGTGTATTATTATCTCATTATAATGTATTATTATATAATAATGAACACATTATCTCATTATAGTGTATTAATATATAATAATGTAACACATTATCTCATTATAGTGTATTATTATCTCATTATAATGTATTATTATATAATAATGTAACACATTATCTCATTATAGTGTATTATTATATAATAATGTAACACATTATCTCATTATAGTGTATTATTATATAACAATGTAACACATTATCTCATTATAGTGTATTATTATATGATAATGTAACACATTATCTCATTATAGTGTATTATTAACTCATTATAGTGTATTATTATATAATAATGAACACATTATCTCATTATAGTGTATTAATATATAATAATGTAACACATTATCTCATTATAGTGTATTATTATCTCATTATAATGTATTATTATATAATAATGTAACACATTATCTCATTATAGTGTATTATTATATAATAATGTAACACATTATCTCATTATAGTGTATTAATATATAATAATGTAACACATTATCTCATTATAGTGTATTATTATATAATAATGTAACACATTATCTCATTATAGTGTATTATTATCTCATTATAATGTATTATTATATAATAATGTAACACATTATCTCATTATAGTGTATTATTATATAATAATGTAACACATTATCTCATTATAGTGTATTATTATATAATAATGTAACACATTATCTCATTATAGTGTATTATTAACTCATTATAGTGTATTATTATATAATAATGAACACATTATCTCATTATAGTGTATTAATATATAATAATGTAACACATTATCTCATTATAGTGTATTATTATCTCATTATAATGTATTATTATATAATAATGTAACACATTATCTCATTATAGTGTATTATTATATAATAATGTAACACATTATCTCATTATAGTGTATTAATATCTCATTATAATGTATTAATATCTCATTATAGTGTATTATTATATAATAATGTAACACATTATCTCATTATAATGTATTCATATCTCATTATAGTGTATTATTATATAATAATGAACACATTATCTCATTATAGTGTATTATTATATGATAATGTAACACATTATCTCATTATAGTGTATTATTAACTCATTATAGTGTATTATTATATAATAATGGACACATTATCTCATTATAGTGTATTAATATATAATAATGTAACACATTATCTCATTATAGTGTATTATTATCTCATTATAATGTATTATTATATAATAATGTAACACATTATCTCATTATAGTGTATTATTATATAATAATGTAACACATTATCTCATTATAGTGTATTAATATCTCATTATAATGTATTAATATCTCATTATAGTGTATTATTATATAATAATGTAACACATTATTATATGATAATGTAACACATTATCTCATTATAGTGTATTATTATATAATAATGAACACATTATCTCATTATAGTGTATTATTATATGATAATGTAACACATTATCTCATTATAGTGTATTATTATATAATAATGTAACACATTATCTCATTATAGTGTATTATTATATGATAATGTAACACATTATCTCATTATAATGTATTATTATATAATAATGTAACACATTATCTCATTATAGTGTATTATTATATGATAATGTAACACATTATCTCATTATAATGTATTAATATCTCATTATAGTGTATTATTATATAATAATGAACACATTATCTCATTATAGTGTATTATTATATAATAATGTAACACATGAGGTTAAACTGTGTGTTAAACGGGCTCCTGCCCTGCTCCTCTGTGATTGGCTGATCCTGATCCAATCAACAGCTTCCGTCCGAAACCCTTCCGCACATTCACACACTGAGCTCGAGCGCACACATAGCGGAACACGGTAAGAGACCTCACCCCCCCTCTGTCTGTCTCTCTCTCTCTCACCCTGTCTCACCCCTCTCCCCCTGTCTCCCTTTGACTAAAATTAACTATTTAACAGCTAATTTTCCCGCTTGTGAGTTAATTAGTTGACCGGTCGCGTGCCTAACGGCTCCAGTGTAACGGACAAACAGCGTTTAGCTCTCGAGCTAGGAGTGGCTAGCCTCCGCTAACGGCTAACGGCTAACTAACGTCGGTGTCCGCGGCTCGAGAGCTTTTAATGTCTGACTGAGGCTCAATCAGCAGCTCCGTGAACAGAAACCGGACTAAACGTCTCAGATATTAAACATAAAACCGAACTGTGTGTGTGTGTGTGTGTGTGTGTGTGTGAGAGAGAGTTCAACCTTTTTTAATGCTAACAGGCTAACTAACTTATTAGCTCCTCTCTCTCTCTCTCTCTCTCTCTCTCTCTCTCTCTCTCTCTCTCCGGTGAACAGTTTGTGTTGACTTTAAAAAGAGTTTAATGTTTGTCAGACAAGAAGTGACATTAAACTGTGAGCTCAACTTTTAACCCCCCCCCCACCACTTTTAAACAAACACACACACGGTTTTTGTGCCGCACAGCTCGCCGTATCTCCTCCTGGCTAACACCTAGCAGCTAGCTTTTTTTTCCTCTTCCTCCCCCTCCTCCTCCTCTTCCTCCTCCTCCTCCTTACCAAACGTTGCTGGCTTGTTTTAGTCGTTATAATCTTTTCTTTTATTGTTTGTAATTTAAGTGTGCGTTAAGATCCACGTTGTGTTTGTGTGGGCTCATTAATGTTGGTGATTTAAAACGGTGTTGCATTGAGAGGAGGGAGGAGGAGGAGGGGGGGAGACTAATAGCCACACCCTTCCTTTCGAAACCAACTGAGCTACAAGTTGACACGAAAAAATAAAATAAAAAGTTTGATTCAGTGTGCCAAACAAACCGCCACAGATTTTATTTATAAAGCTGTACTTTTACCAACAAAAAAAAAACCTCCTCCAGAAGTTTTTGTTGGAGGTTAAAATCTATTTTTCAACCTTTTTCTGGCTCTGACACACAAGAGATCAGATATTTTCTCTGTGTTGAATTGAACTGAAGGTTTGAGTCAGTTTTTTTTTATATATATATGCTGTTAGTGTGCTGATTAGCAACAGGTGTTTTGTGGAATAAGTTTTGTTTGTTATGTAACATGGGACAACAACCATGTTAACGACTCCTGACTCCTTTTAAAAGTCGACTCTCACAGCACAGAAGAGTCGTCCCCTCTAAAGCATGACCCCCGAATGTGGGTCGCAAACCCGTTCTGGATTGGTCTCGTAGTGTGTAGTCAAAAAAAATCTAATGTCTGACTTTTATTTTGACAGAAAAGCTTCCACAAATGTCTTAAAAACAGCCTGTTTCACTCAGTTTGTTATTAAAATGCTCTAAATGCAGGGATGAAAATATGTATTTAACGTCAAACGTGTGCAGTGTAGTCATGACATTTCTGTACGACTTTACCAGCCTATTTGTAAACTACATTTGGTTGATTTTAATTCTATAAAAGTGGGTTGCGACTTGATGACCACAGTATAAATGTGGGTGAAAACATCTTTAATGCAGCAGAGGGTTTTTAATAATGCATCTGTTTGTTTTTCCATTGGTCTCAAAATGTTCTTAGATTTCCTTATTTGCTTGCTTTTTTTTTTTAAACAGACAAACAAAACGTTGTTGTAGATTAATCCAGATTTTATCTAGACCGGTTATGTAGTGCTGATCTGAATGTAAACACTTTATTATTTGGTTTAATTCAGGGTCAGTTTCCTGTCTGAACAGTTTGGTGTAATCTAGCTTTCTGGCTCCCGACCGACCCTCAGCACCTGCCCGCTGACACCAGTGTACCTGAGGATCTGCCGCCCCCCCTCCTCCCCAGATGTAGAGGGAGTTGTCATCTGCAGCAGCCGTGTACACAGTAGGTCAACCTTTTGTTGGTTTCTTTTTGTCTCCCTGTACAGATTTTGTTGTGTGTTTATTAGCTGTCAGCATTGGTGAAGGTTGTCGGCTCAATTGCGTAACACTTGAAATGAGTCCAGGCTCGTATCTAATCAGGGGAAGGTTTAGGTTTCTAATCTGATGTCGGGGCTTCAAAGGAAGTTTTGTGACACCTACGTACATTTACATTTTATTCACAGTGGTTTGCCTTGATGTACGTTTTTAGGCTAACGAATGCATCAGGCACACGATGGTGCCCCCCCTCGCCCTGGTAATGATTTCAGTGCAGTGGCCATGCATGCACCCTCTGATCTCCATTTTCTGTTTGTATGGTGTACTTGAGTAGAGGAGGGTCATTACAATGGCCCTTTGTAGAGTGCCTCGTGTGCCTGTCTCACACTGTGGGTTTCTGGTGGTGCTTCATACGTCGTAGTTAGAATTGCAAATGCCGGTCGAGTGTGACAGAGTGTTTTCTGTATTGTTTGTTTCCAACAGTTGACAAATGTCCCACGGACCTAGTATGATTAGTAGATTCGAAGAGGTTTTTAAATGAGATTTTACTGTTCATCACCCCCTCTTTGACATTTGTACATCAAGTGAAGATCAGATTTGCATTTCAGAATAGAATTTAAAACACGGCTCCTTTTTAAAAAAAACACTTTTCACCACATGTACGTGTTTGGTTAAATGTTTAGTTATTTGATTTTCGGCTGAGATGATGTTTTATGAGATATGTTTTCTGTGCTGCTGCTCATTATCTCTGAACTTCTCCTTAAAATAAAAAGTAATTTAATATTTACAGTCAACCTTTTCCTCATTCAGTCAAATCTATCAAGGTGCGTAGCAAGTTAGGCAGATATACTCGAGTTTCTCTGAAATAAATCTAAAACAATGACGCGCTTGAGTCAGTGTGAGGTGGTGATTTTCCCATTGTTCATATTTTCAGCAGTCACAAGACAAAACAACACAAAAATAAACAAAACTGGTGGAAAATGACACTGCCAAAGAACAGCTTGCTGTATTAGTGAAGGCCTTAATGATGCATTAATCATTTATAATAATAATCCTACTTTTTATTCACTGAATGACCCGGGATAGTTACCGATTGTTTTAAGAAACAATGTGTGTCTTCATCCCAAACAATTTTCACGGCTGTCACAATTCTTCTGACTGCCAGTATTTTCTAGGCCACGTACGCTGTCTAAACTGTGTCAGGCTGATGGAGTTGATGATAGGTCATTCTCCGTGGCCTCTCTCCTCCGTATTGTAATGAGATGAAGTTATTTGTGGAACTGAAACTCTACCTACTGACTGCACTGTTTGTCATTTTCAGGATCAGTCCACCACGGTTCCACACTCTTGTGGGTCAGATTTAGAACGTTTTTACTATAACTTACTTAATAATTCCTTTTCTGCTACAACTCTGTGAAGCACTGATCTGAATTTCTGAAGTTAAGGAGTTTATTGCGGTTTCCTTCGGCTCTTCTTGATTTTTGTTTTGTTTTTGTTTTATTAAAGGCAACGCCCCTATTGTCATGACAGCTGAGGTCCCATGGTAGTGGGTGGGAAAGAGACCTAATTTTTTTGGCAGAGAAACGACATTTTGATCTGCTGATGTCAGTAATGATTCCTCGTTGTAGACACTGTACCGACTTCAGCTTGTTCACTAGCTTCATACTTCTGTAACTGTACAGTGCGTGACAAAGTCTTTTGGTACAAATAGAGAATAGACTTCCTGTGAGTCGTTGTTTGTGTCAATGACTAAAAGCGCTGCTAAGGAGATTGTACAGTCACACCTTGATTCAAATGAAACATTATTGTAATAGTGAAACTGTGGATGTCGGGTGAATTAATTCCAATCATGTTTTAAAAACGATCTTTAATTTTGTTTAGTTTAGTTTTGTTTATTATTCTTCTGGAAAGTCCCTTTTGTGTCTGTGGCAACTATCAGACAAACACAAGCAATAACAAATGACGTTACAGTTAAATACAGACATTAAACAGTGTTTGTGCTCCACAACAACATCACCAAGGATCAGGAATACGGATATTTGGATAAAGTTAAAGCTTGTTAAGATTTAGAGAGCTCAGTAGGTTTTTGTGTGTAGCTGAAAATGACACAAAGATCCTCTGTCTTACTTTGTCCTTCTTTTCTCTGTCCTGTCACAGACCCTTGTGCTGTCCAGTGAAGTTGCCCACCATGCGTGAGTACAAGCTAGTGGTGCTGGGATCAGGAGGCGTGGGAAAATCTGCACTGGTGAGTGATTGCTGCTGCCGTGGGTTGGGAATCAGCATCACAGATGCCTCAGTTAACATGTTTATCACAGATTTATAGTAAAATGTGTTATTGGCACCATTATGATGCAGTTTACAGTAACTTAGAGTGCTTTTAAATGAGAAGACCAGTTCGTTTTAAACAGAAATGTATTCTGTAAAATGGTAGGTGCTTTCTTAGCAATACAAGTTGTGGTACAAGGCTTTATTCTGCAGATAAAATGTTCAAGGATGTAATATTTCAAGAGGCCACAATAAATAAAAGGGAGACTAGGAGGGAGGAATAAGCCTGAGTCATGAGCTATGCAGCTTCAAGAATATAAATTATCCTTGTTTAGAAATTGAACTGGCGTCTAGTCAGAGACTAAAGTTGATGATGAATCATAGTATGTAAGTCAACAATAAGTATATTTTTATTTTGGGAAATAGATGTAGTACAAACAGTGAACATTACAAGAGAGTTGATACCTTTTTAGGTAATGAAAAACTAATGTTTCCTTTGTTTTATTTGTCCATTTCAGACAGTCCAATTTGTGCAAGGCATTTTTGTGGAGAAGTATGACCCGACAATAGAAGACTCCTACAGAAAGGTAAGCTCAGAAACACAGTTGACCTCCTGAACTTTGTTAAAGCAGTTCAGTGATTGGTTGTTTTAATGCCTCCACTTTTTCTCCAACAGCAAGTCGAGGTTGACGGGCAGCAATGTATGCTTGAAATCCTGGACACGGCTGGAACAGTAAGTCAAGTCAGACATGGGTATCAGATGGACGGGTCTTACACTGCAGACAGGCCCCGCTGACAGCTTTTCCCCCCTGTTGTTGTTTCTATAGGAACAGTTCACGGCTATGAGGGACCTGTATATGAAGAACGGCCAAGGTTTTGCTTTGGTGTACTCCATTACAGCGCAGTCAACATTTAACGACCTACAGGACCTCCGGGAACAGATCCTGCGAGTAAAGGACACTGAGGATGTGAGTGTTTTATTCTTTTAAAACTTCACACTTGATGTTATAGCTAACTAATGAAGTGAGTGATTTGAACGGTAATTGTAGAGCAGGAAATATGAATCATGGTAGGATCACATTAAAGGTCTGTACCTTTATTTCGGACACAATAGGTCCATATTAACATACTAATACATGCGTTTAATTGTATTATTCATTGTTTGGTTGCTTAAAAAAAACAGAAAAAAATATCTGTTGTATATTCTTATGTGCCTTCTTTTACCAAGAAATATAAAATTTTACTAAAATGGAAGACAAAAGCAACAAATTCAAATGAGAAGCTGGAATCATAAAATTCAATTCAATCGAATGCGTTTTTTATTAGCATTAAATGTCGGAAGCATTTTCCCCAACCAATAAAGAAACTCTAAACACAGATCTCTAATTAATTTCTGATGATCAACTCTTCAATCCAAGTAAGAAAATATGAATATTAGGACATAAATATAGAAGGTAAATGATGATGAACGGGAGAATAAATACAACGGACTAAAGGATCACACAATCAACACACTTAGAGATGTGTGGGTTTTCCTCAGACAACAACAATAAGTTACTATATTATACTGTCTATCAGTATTACGTTATTATTTCCATACAACCCACCAATTCTTTAAGGCTCCTCCTCAGTCTGTGGAGAGTTTCCCTTCTGTGATAACCTTTGGTGTTTCTCTGTATAATCTGCCTGTGTCGCCTCTCAGGCTCATCACTCCCTCATTAAAGTCTGCTCTGTGGGAGAGAGGGCAGATCGAAGGGGGAGCAGGAACTTTGTGACAGGGTGGAAATGTCAGAGCTGTTGTTAGATGCTACCTGCCACTTTCAGTCTTGGTCTCTTCGTCTCTTAATTTAGAGAGAGGATATACAGCATGCTGAGTGCTTGCTTTATTTATTCATAGCAAGTTGCTTGGTCTGTGTCTTGGTTGAGGTCTTGCTTTGCTAAAACATTTTGCTGTTGAACGTGTGCTTTAAAAACTGGGGTGATAAAAACTTGATGTTGTAGACACTTACACATTTATATTTGGATGTGTAAGAATTATAGTGTTGTATGAAGTGAGATATTGTTGTGAAATGCAGAAGCAGTATCTTACTTCGACATTTCTGGTAATCAATCTAGGTTCCTATGATCCTGGTGGGAAACAAATGTGACCTGGAGGACGAGCGTGTGGTTGGCAAGGAGCAGGGTCAGAACCTGGCCCGTCAGTGGAACAACTGTGCCTTTTTAGAGACTTCAGCTAAATCAAAGATCAATGTTAATGAGGTAAGTGCTACGACTAGACCACGTGTGGACCACCAGCATGTATAGCATTGGCAGAGGAGTTCAAGTGCATGGTGACAAATCTTCACCAAATCTTATAAGATCAAGAAAACCTGAAAATATTCACATTGAGACACTAAAAATAAGTGATTTTTGGCTTTTCTTTAGTTGAAAAATGACCATAAATAATCAAAATAGTTGCCTATTAACCCACAAAGCAAGGCTTCATGCGATGATATGTGACACATACATATACATATATAGCCTTGTTTTCTTCCCCCGATGTGGTTAACACTACAAGTGTTATACTGCACGAAAGACATTTTTTGAGCACTTCTAGTCATCAATATGCTGTTTCTATAGAGGTGCAGGACTTGTATATTAAAGTGAAATGTGATAGAAGCAAAAACCAAACAGCCAGAACCTGCTTGATGTTCAGGGGGTTAATTTTCTGTAGATTAATTAACTAATTGTTAAGGGTTTGTGGCTGTCTCTCACATTTCTGCTTTTACTGTGCCAGAAATATGTGTTTTATTTTTATAGTTCCCATAATATTCTCTTCTTCCATCTGAAATGTATCAGTGACTTTTCACTGCAAGATGTTCGTTCTTTGTTCTGTGCCGAAGCAAAAATGTTGAAATCGTGCAACTTTCTCTGTTGTAGATTTTCTATGATCTGGTGCGACAGATCAACAGAAAAACGCCGATGGAAAAGAAGAAGACAAAAAAGAAGTCAAGTTGCACACTGCTCTAAATGCCCTCCCACAGTAGCTCCAGGCCAGGTGAGTGGGTGTTGAAACCAAATTTATTCCAGACGTGTGCGCGACTCCCACTGCTCACTGAGCTCTCTGGATTGTCACTGAACATTTAGAGATTCAGTGCAGTAATTATTAAAGCAAGCATGTCTTGTTGTTGCAGTAAAAGGATAAAGCATCACTGATGTCCTTGAAACAGCGATGTCTCATAAAGCATCTCTGTAGGTTTAAAAGAGTAAATCGTTTGGAAAAGGAAGATGAATGATTGAACGTCCTCTTCAGTCTGTTTTAATGTGTACTGGTGAAAGGAAGGAAAAACTGGAGCCAATGTGTGAAAATCCATTTTAGGGCTTCACCTTTTTTTAAAAATTTGAATCAAAGATGGTTTTAAAATGTTTTATGTAGATAAGTGAAGCTGAAAGCCTTTCATGGATGTTGTGGCTCCACCTGCTGTTGGAACATTTACCAGCCACTGTTTTCATGCCCTTGTGTGTTTGTATGCGTTTTCCCTCTAATGTGAGCAATTGGTTTATAGTCTTTTAATATTAAAATCAACCTTGCTTGGTTGACACATGTAATCCATCACAGAGAATATCACGCTGTGCTGACTGTTCAGATGAAACTACGTTGCCTTGGATCACCGTCATAATGTCAGTGAAGGCAGACATGATGTTCTTTGAATGACCAAGTTTTAAACCTCAATTTGTCAAACAAAACCAATGTTTATAAGGATGGGTTCACTGTTGTTCAAGTCTGTCCTAAAGCAATAGTCAGGGGCCCACATGGACATAGAAGCAAGTAAGTCTTTTAGTACAAAAGTCCCACACAAAGAGGGATTTTTCTACTAAAAAGACTTTGGAGGATGTCCCCTTGCCTTGTCTAAATCAGACAGCTGAAGTCTCATCTTTAGACACATTTTGTAATAAATTTATGGTACAGAGCAAAGATTTTGTCCCCTAATCGCATTCAATGGGGATGTTTCATTGTTCATATGAGCCCCTGAATATTGTTTTAAGACTGAAAAATTAATATACCCTTTTAAGTGTATGATTAAAGGGACATAACATGTAAAAAATACTGATGTGTTTAAGTCCAGTGAAGGTTTATTAACAGATCTGGCTCTGGGACAGAGAACAAAAAGGTTTGAGATGACGAATGTTCAATAGTGGACTGAAGTCATTTCTGAGTGTGTTATGAGCTGAGAGGATGTGATGTGTTCAGTGAGCTCGTCCTGTATCCGCTGATGGTTCATTCAGGCCTCTGTGAAGGGAATTGAACTCTTGGTAATAGCTGTGTTGTTTTTTTAATCGCACTGGGATCAACTCCCAAAACAGATTCTCTAAAACACTGATCTCAAACTACCAGCCTTGGGTCCAGATCCGGCCCAGAAGACAGTTTTCTATGGTCCCCCCACATTGTTACATCTGGTTTCACAAAATGTTGTCTTTCATTTTAGAATAATCATTTAATTTTCTATAAAAGCTGCAGAATTGGAACAAAACAATTGACTTTATTTGACATTTAACATTTAGCAAGCTGCAGCAGAACAACATTGATTCACTGTGGCACAGCCTGAACCAAAATGTCTCTCTTTAAACCTGAAAGAATATTTTTATAACTGGTTATATTATCATGGAGATTTAGTGCAACTACTTGCTGTCTCATCTGCAAGGAGGAAGTTGGCGTTCTCTAAGGATACAATATCAGAGGCATTACTTTACGACGGGTACAAGGGAGGACATAAATCTGGATTATTGATGAAACAACAAACACTGGCGTATTTCAGTGTGTTCAACTGAGGCCCCTGTTTCTCCGCATTCACCTCATGTTCTACACAATGTTTAATATGCACTGACGTTGTTTTTTTGTTTATTTTTTATTTGCAGAAACTTGTAATGATTAACTGTTTCCCAGTGGATCGTGTGCCAGCATTCCCAAGTCCTCTCCAGAGCATTTTGAAAAAAGGCTGACAAGAGATACTTCACCACCCGCAAAATGGCAGGAGACGGCACATACTCTCTCTTCTCTGCTTTTTTTTAATGGCAAAGAAATCCACCTCTTCTTTGTATTGGCAGCCTGATGACAACTCTGTTTTTGTTTTTTTGTTTTTCTCTTCTCCAAGGTGTCTTTTCTTTTGGAAATATCAGTGTAAAAGAAGAAGAGGTCGTGGGTTTAAATCCATATACGGGAACTAAAAAAAAAAAATGTTTTTATTGAAAGTAACATCAATCTTTGGCATATTGTGACAATACGTTTGCAAAAGAAAACATGTGAAATGTTGGCCTTTCTCATACATTTCTGCACTAACAGTGTCAAAGATGCATCATTGTCCATAAGTTACTCGCTCCTACTTACAAGGATGTGTATTGACGAGATAACATCTTTCCTAAGTGACTTTGTTTTATATTGAAAGCTGCAAGCCTTCCATATTTCCCATAATATATTCTTCTTCCATTTTTGCATAATAAAGCTAAGGAAATTAGTATTTTATAGACTGACGGGGGGAAAATGGTGTGTTCTGATTTGTGTCTTGAGGCTGAAAATATATTGTACTAAACCAACTCTAATATTGCTGTCACAGATGATTTTCCAGCTTTTATGAATGATTAAATTTTAGTACATTTTCATTATTTTTGGTCTTGTTTTTTTGTTGAGTGGCTTAAGTGTGGTTTTTTTTTTTATCTAATTGTGAAATATAATTCTTGCTGTTTGTGGGCTAGAGCTGCAGGATATGAACCAAACCACCTTTAATGGTTTTATCAATATGTGTTTTCTCCACAGCAGACAAACGCTGACGTTGGTGATGTATTAGTAAACTTCTTTTGGTTTCTGTGTTTTATCAGGACACACATTAGTGACAGGATCGATACCTTCAAGAGAGTTCAAAGTGTTTCTTATTGGCAGAAGTGACAGCCTAAACCCAAGTCACCAGAGTTTTAGGAAAGGAGTTGGCTCAGCTGACCTGCGGGAAGTTGGAGCCAAGAGAGGAAGGAGCCGAGAAAGAGGAACTCTAACTGCCCGACTCAGAGAGGTGGAGGCAGCAAAAGCAGAATAGAAACTGATCAGATGGTAAAAACAGTTCACACAGAAAGTGAAGTGAAAAGTATAAAACATATATATATATATCTTGTATTCTTTCCTGCCCCAGTAACCAATCTTATGGCTTCCTAACATTTACTGTAACTTTTGACCCTTTCGAGAAGTCCTGACATCTTGTTTGTGAATCGTGTGACTGATTTATCTCACTTCACAAATTATTTAGAACCAGTTCCAGCTACAACAGCTACAATGCTGCTTACACTTCTCACTAAAGCTGTAATACAGTGGTTCCCAAACTGGGGGTCGCCAAAGCTTCACAGGGGGGTCGTGAGGCCTTCTTGATTCTACTTTAAACATATACACAGTTGGCCTATACCAACATCTCTGGGAGGTAAACTTTGGAGAGCTCAACACAAGTTTTATTCCTCATCAAACAACCAAAGAGCTAATAAAACAACGTGAAGAAAACACTGAATATGTCATTAGAAGCCTATAAAGTTATGTATGATTGTTAAAAATCATATTAAAAAATACATAGAAATATCAGGAAACTCGTCTCTGATCAAAACAAACAGGAACATTTAAATATATATAAATAATAAACATAAAATATGCCACTCAGGGTTGTCAATGAGTATAATAATGAGAATAAGTACAGTTTGTTGATAATATTTAATATGTGGGATTTTGAATGCGGGACTTATTTTTAGATTGTACTGGTATTTTTCACTTAAAGGATGGATCTTCTGCATACTAAATAAAGGGACTGTATGTCACAACCCCTCCTGTATGAGTGGAGTTACCTGTGCAGGAGTATAAACGATAATAACCTCCAGCTGTGACCAAACACCAGAGAAATCTCCTTCCTAAAGCTCCCAGTGTTGTCTTTGCAATTAAAACCACATTTACAGTGTTTTATCACCGCAGATTGATGAGCGGCGGTGACTCCATCTCTCTCACCTACCCTGGCCCTCCTCCCTGCCTCCTTTCCCCTCCCTCTCTCTCACTCTCTCTCTCTCTCTCTCTCTCTCTCTCTCTCTCTCTCTCTCTCTCTCCCACACACGCATGCATACAGACCGACAGGCTACGCGACCCCCCCTCCTCCTCCTCCCCCTCCCCTTCCATCATTTTCCCATCTCTTACTCACTCTCTTCCCTACAACAAACATGGCCGCGAAATCTGATGGTGCACCCGTCTCTCTACGAAACGAAATCCCACCCGAGTGTCCCTCCAGGTCGGACCCGCGGCCTCCCCAGCGCCGCCCCGCCGAGCAGCGCTACTCCGTCCCGGACTGCTGCTGGACGCTGTGCGCCCTTTTGGTCTTCTTCTCGGACGGGGCCTCAGACCTGTGGCTGGCCGCGGACTACTACCTAAGGAGGGACTACTGGTGCTTTGCGCTGACTCTGGTCTTTGTGATAGTCCCGTCCGTGGTCGTGCAAGTGTTGAGTTTCCGATGGTTCGCCTACGATTTCTCGGAGACCGTCGAGAGCGGCACGGCTGCGGCCGCCGTGGTGGCGGCGTCGGGAGCGGAGGAGAGCGACTTCAGCACCAAGGACAGCGGCGAGCGGGGCGCTGGCCGCACCGCCGCGGCCGGGGTGCTGCCAGGGCCGGGCACCGGGGGAGGAGCCCGGGGCTGCTGCAGAGTCTTCATGGGGCTCTTCCAGGCCATCATTCACATCTTTCAGCTGGCACAGGTCTGGAGGTAAGTCTGAACACTCATAACGTGAACTGAGAGAGGAGGGGAGGAAGGTTGGGTGGTGGTGGTGTGTGTGTGTGTGTGTGTGTGTGTGTGTGTGTGTGGGGGGGGTGACTACACTACACATTCAGCCTCTGCCTTTGTGTGTGTGTGTGTGTGTGTGTGTGTGTGTGTGTGTGTGTGTGTGTGTGTGTGTGTGTTCACTCCCTGTCGCTTATGAAACCTAATCATTCAGGGAGAGACTGTGCCCAAAATGTCATGATGTCTTTTTTTTGGTATTGTTTGACGTTTCTCCCCCCCCAGCTTGGAAAGGCAGAATCAGACTCCACCCTCTCTCTCTCTCTCTCTCTCTCTCTCTCTCTCCCCCCCACCACCCCTCCAACCACCCCCACCCCTGACGCGCTTTTAGGTCAATCATCTCCCGGGAAAATCATCAACCCATCCACACCAATCGCCTTATATAAAAAAATAAAAATCCCTTTGTCTTGTGGGGTTTTGGGGCGAGAAGCAGCCTGACTGCTGAAGAAAATAGTCATAAATGTCATGAGAGTTGCTTCCTATTTGCAGCTATACGTGCACCCGCCTCCCTTCCCACTTGTCTAGTGTATTTTCAGTTCTTATCTTGAGGCTGCTTCTCTTTATTTTTGTAAAATCCATATTCTCAAAAAACCTCCCAGCAGGCTTCAGATTCTAAGTCTCTTCCTTCTCAGCTGAGCACAAACATGTTTAATTAACAGGGATGTGCTCTGAGACTTTAAAAAAAACAAACCAGTGTACACTCTTGGCATTACTCTCACTTGGATGGTAGTAGGTCTGTAGGTCAGCTACTCAGTCAGCGGTGGTGAGGCAGTGCTCAAGCCTCCGGTGCTCTGTTTTGACAGGCTTGAACTGCTGCCAGTCAGAGGGGGAGGCATTCAGCTGAACTGTGGTGGGAGGGAGGGTTAGACGAAACGTGATGATATTCAAAAGACAAGCTGTATTTGTATAGACACGCTGGAAATGTAGAAATATATATAGATAGAGAGAAATGATGACAAATCAGCTGTTTGATTCATCTGGAAGCCTGTGTCTGTCTCTGTGGTCTCTCTCTTCCGGCCTCTTTAGACAGCCTGTTGGGTAATATATATTGATTCCTTATTTCCTCCTGGAGACTTTTCAGGCTTCTTTGTGTGAGTGTGTCCAGGAGCACATTAAAACGTCGTGGCGGCACAGAATTACCGGTAATGCCATTAAAAGCTGTGGTGTGGTGCTCCGTTCATCGCTGCTGCTCTCAGACCAGAGTGTCTGCACATTAAGAGGATTAGCACTGTGTGTGTTTGTGTGTGTGTGTGTGTGTGTGTGTGTGTGTGTGTGTGTGTGTGTATGTTTCACCCTCGGCTGTTAACTCGGAAATGATCCGTCACTGATACACAGTCAGTCAGGTGAACCCGGGGATCAATTTGGGGCCGGCTACCAGAATTAAATGTCAGCGCACAAGAGATGGGATATGGGGTTGTGTTACAGACACAGTGCACACAATGATACTGTGTGTGTGTGTGGCTGAGTCTTTGACCCTCATTACTGCACGTATGCTCTATTTTCTCTCTGTGTTACATCCCAAGGCACACTTTGTGTAGCAGAAAGCAGAACATAAAAAAAGGGTTACACAAACTCTCCTGTGGTTCACTGGGCTTGTTGACATAGGGCTCTTCTGACCCTTCTCCCCGAGGCCATTACTGAGACATTTATAGCTCCAGTCCTCTGAGGCAGCCACCAGTATTTCTTTTAAACCGTTAGGTGCTCTGAGATGATAAAAGGTAATCATTTGCACATTGCATATTTGCAGATAGGTGTCACGTGTCAACACATTAGTGCGGGAATATGTTTGCACAGTTCACGTGTCAACAAAATGATGTGTGTTGGTTTTACAAGGTCATTATGGAACAAGTTCAAATGGAGGTTGAGGCGGAGGGGGGTGGGGACTACATGTCAGTAAAGCTCAGGAGTTCAACAAGGGATTTATAGCGAGCTCTTTTTTCTTCTTCCTCCCTAACCTTCAATGTGAAGATTGGATTGAGAGCATTTATTTGGATGTCTTTTCGCTCATAGTTTGCGTTTCCTGCAGCCCTTGTGACTGATTTTATTGCGAAAGAGATTGCAGACAAGCTCTACATTCATCCCCTCCGATGCCTGTACTAAAATTAAAAACCACAGAGCTGCTTAGTTCAGTTTCAGTCTAATCTAAATCCTGGAGGAGCAAGCAACCAGCTTTTTGGCAAGAACTACTGACAGCTCCCAGAGTTTGGAATAATGAGTTATGACTTCTGAGAGTCTGTGTTTGATGTCCAAAAGTTTTTGAAGCACAGTATTAAGCCCTCAAATTCTGTTCAATCTCCACTAAACTTAATGCACCGATGAATCTGTCTGAATTGTGTCTTGCCTCTGATGCACAGGTACGTCCACGCCCTGTATTTGGGCGTGCAGAGCCGCTGGCACAGAGATCCAGAGCGCCGTCACTACTACTGGCGCATGATGTTTGAGAGCGCGGATATCAGCATGCTGCGTCTGCTGGAGTCCTTCCTGAAGAGCGCCCCCCAGCTGGTGCTGCAGCTCAGCATCATGATCCAGGCCAGTCAGGTGTTGCCCCTTCAGGGTGAGTGTGCCCAAAGAAATGACCAGTCACCAAATCACTCAATCACACGTCTGCGGCCCACACTGTGCATGATGAGTCACTTGGGTTCGCATCAATCAGTCCCCCGCAGAGCAGGGAACTGTTTATTCTTGCTGTGATAAACGGTGAAACAGCAACCCTAGAGCCATTTCCATCCCTGTCTAACTTCTGTTGCTCAATCTCTCTTCTCCTCTCTCTCCTCCTCTCGCTCCTCCTCTCGCTCCTCCTCTCTCTCCTCAGGGCTTTCAGCTTCTGCCTCGCTGATATCCCTCGCCTGGATGATCGCCTCCTATCAGAAGGTTCTGAGGGACTCCCGAGATGATAAGCTACCCATGACCTACAAGGCCGTCATAGTTCAGATCCTGTGGCACCTGTTCACCATCGGGGCCCGCACTCTGGCCTTCGCCCTCTTCGCCTCCGTGTTCCAGCTCTACTTTGGCATCTTCATCGTGGCCCACTGGTGCATCATGACGTTTTGGATAATTCAAGGCGAAACGGACTTCTGCATGTCCAAATGGGAGGAGATCATCTACAACATGATGGTGGGTATTGTGTATGTTTTCTGCTGGTTCAGCGTGAGAGAGGGGCGCACTCGCTGCAGGATGCTCATCTACAGCCTGACGGTGTTCGTGGAGAATGTGGCGCTCACCACTGCCTGGTACCTGTACCGCAGCCCTCGTACCTCAGACTTCTACGCCGTCATTATGGTGTGCGTGGTGGCCAGCAGCTACGCCCTGGGCACCTTCTTCATGTTTGTGTATTACTGTCTGCTGCACCCCGACGGCCCAGTCTCTGGGTGGGGCTATATTGTGGAGAAGGAGGTGCCCGTGGAGTTGCTGGCCTCCCCAGCTTCCAGCCTCCCCCCTGACGTGGTGAGCAGCCCCCCCAGGACCCTCCAGAGAACTAAAGGCTCCGACAGAGAGCAGGGGCCTGGGATAGACGGAGACGTGTTTCAGGTACGACCACCTCGGGGAGCTCAGGCCCCGGTGACCCACCTCACACCCAGGACAGAGGGGCCTGTCATCCGAATAGACCTGCCCAGGAAGAAGTACCCGGCATGGGACGCTCACTTCATCGACCGCCGGCTGCGTAAAACCATCCTGGTGCTTGAAAGCGCTGCCCCGGTCACGCCAAGGATTCAGTACCGCTGTCTGGGCACACCCAAAGAAGTGATGGAGTACGAGACCACCGTGTGATGTGCTGAAGGTGCTGTGACTCAGCTCACCACTGTGTGGACATCCGGCCTTAAATAAAATGGCAGGTGGATGACTCTCACAGAGCAGTCTGTTTCCGCTCCACGCCTACTTGAATGCTCTCAGTACTGTCAGGCAGCGGAGACAAACAGGAGAAGAAAAGGGGGCCACAAAGGGAGTGTGGTATTTTTTACTAAAGGCAAAGTGCTGTGATGTGGTCTAATGATGATGGTGCATATATTCGGTTTCTGTATCATTTCTCAGGTCAGGATGTGGTACAGGAAGCAAGTCGACATTAGCAGCGACGCTCGCTGTCCAGTGAGCTTAGAGAGAAGCACAGGTAGAAGTGGAGCTGTACGATTATCAATAAGAGGCAGAAAGTCCTCCTCAGCGAAGGTGCTTCAGCACATCCTCTCAAGGCGGTCGACAACAGAGACGAGCCTTCAACATGCATGATTATTTATGGCAGCTAGAACTCAGAGAAAGAGATGGTAAACTCTCACCCATAATTTAAAACACAATCTACAATAAATACAATATAGGCACTGATAATCATGGTCATGATTTTCCCATAGCTTTTCACTCATGTTGAAGGAGTCTCTGAGAATGCTGCTGCAAATCTGAAGGGCGGTTCAAAAGCAACATTTGAGTTGAATGTAAAAAACAGTTTGAAAATGTGATTATTTGTGACGAGGCTTTGAGCATTTTCATGCTGTTGGTGGGATTTACAACATTCCTGTGGTACTATATTTCTTTTTTTTTTTTTTAAGGTAAGCTAGAACAAAAAAAGAGATTTGTGTGTGTTTACAAGCAATCCGTTGTTTTTGGGGACACGCCATCATTATTATAACAGGATGCACCTTCATTCAGAATGTGTACGTACCGAACAAATAACTACGTTATAATTTACATTTACATTTACAGGAGGAATTCTACTGGTAGGACAGCTGTATTTTCATACTGCATCCAACTTACACAACGGAGGAAGCAGGGCAGACATTCATTTCCATGTAAATTAAACTGTAGTATGAAGGGGACGTTACAGAGGGACAGCACTGTCTGTAATTGTACTGTATCCATATTTTATTGTCTCAAAATGTAAAAAGGAAAAAAAAGAAAAAATTGCTCCAGACTCCTAAGAGAATAGCTTTGATATTATTGATGGTACAGGCATGTGGTACTTTTGGTAACACTTTATTTTACAGGTCTGTTTGACTTTTGATATAAATTTTAGGGAAAATAGAGAAAATTTCATGTATTTCCTTGACAGTATTTAAACACACTAATTTTATTCTTCTTATATGTTGAATTTCAAACTCGCCTCTTTGCATATACACTGACTAAAGGAGGTTACACTAGCTTAGCTTTTAATTGGAACTGATTACTTGGTAGTTTGCCAATTAAACAGTCTGTTTCCTAGTTATAATTAATGCTAAATTATATAAGTTATCTCCAGGTAGCTTCCTTTGAATAATATTAAGAATTATCGGACTTGTAAATTAAAGCGTTACTGTACTTTCTTTTATCAGGGTTGTTTTTCTATTGAATAGTCACAAGAGGGAACATTTCTGAACCTGTGTGTGTGTGTGTGTGTGTGTGTGTGTGTGTGTGTGTGTGTGTGTGTGTGTGTGAGCTCACATACCAGCATGTGTATGGGTGTGTGTGTATGTGGGGGAAAGGGGAGGAGGAAGGAGTCTTGCCATGTGCATTTAAGTTAATTTGAAATTGTGTCACTGAGATATGACAGTTTTGTTGTAAACACTGTCCAGTCAGCTCATTTTTCCCAGATGACACTGAAATGAACAAATGGCCCACAGAGCACCTTTACCACCTCCACCCCTCGTTACAGTAACAAAGCCAGAGGGGGCTTCTACTATGGTGCTAAATCCATCACCTAAAAACCACATGGTGTACCATAAAATGGGCGTGTTATGGCAGGAGTTGGGCGAGGCTGTACCTCAAACACAAAGCTAGAATCAAAAAGCCTTAAACTGGTCATGCCAGACTGTTGCTGTTCAGAGCAAGAAAAAAAAAAGAACAAGAAGGTGAAGACAATTTCATTTTGTTGTTGTTGCTAAAATAAAGAGCAATGTGTTTACCTGACTTATGCTGTTTGTGCCTTTCTGTACAGGAGAGATAGATAGATAGATAGATAGACAGACAGACAGACAGACAGACAGACAGAGTTAGATAGATAGATAAACAGACAGACAGACAGACAGACAGAGTTAGATAGATAGATAAACAGACAGACAGACAGATAGATAGACAGACAGACAGAGTTAGATAGATAGATAAACAGACAGACAGACAGACAGACAGACAGACAGAGTTAGATAGATAGATAAACAGACAGACAGACAGACAGACAGACAGACAGACAGACAGATAGATAGATAGATAGATAGACAGACAGACAGACAGACAGACAGAGTTAGATAGATAGATAAACAGACAGACAGACAGATAGATAGACAGACAGACAGAGTTAGATAGATAGATAAACAGACAGACAGACAGACAGACAGACAGAGTTAGATAGATAGATAAACAGACAGACAGACAGACAGACAGACAGACAGACAGACAGACAGATAGATAGATAGATAGATAGATAGACAGACAGACAGACAGACAGACAGACAGACAGACAGAGTTAGATAGATAGATAAACAGACAGACAGACAGATAGATAGACAGACAGACAGAGTTAGATAGATAGATAAACAGACAGACAGACAGACAGACAGACAGACAGAGTTAGATAGATAGATAAACAGACAGACAGACAGACAGACAGACAGACAGACAGAGTTAGATAGATAGATAAACAGACAGACAGACAGACAGACAGACAGACAGATAGATAGACAGACAGACAGACAGACAGACAGACAGACAGACAGACAGACAGACAGACAGATAGATAGATAGATAGATAGATAGATAGATAGATAGATAGATAGATAGATAGATCCTTCTGAGGAGTGTTCTGATTGGATTGAGACTAAATCCAATCTCTGTGTTACAGTGGATCAGTGGATTAGCGGCACTGAACTTGTCACAACCAACTGCTGTATATCCAACCGAGGTCGTGACCTCTCAACAGATGAACCTATTAAAAACACACTCTTTGGCTCGCTGTTATCGTTGTAATTATTCCGAGCTGTGAAGGAAGGGACGCTCAGGATTTCCGTCTATTGGTCGCTTCCTCTGTGGGGATGGAAAAACTTTCACGCTTCAGTTTCTGTCTTGGAGGAGAAAAAAAAAGACTCGAGCTTCATGTTTGCAAGTCAGTGGGGTGTAAAACCAAAATCTAAATCGGTCCCATTAACTCCTACTGCTGCAGAGAAATGAGAGAACAAGCAACCGAGTTTCACAGTCCACTAACAAATGCTAAATAGATAGCTGGTGCCAACATTTTGGATACCACAGACCTGTGTGACTCTTTTCTTAAAGGTCCAGTGTGCAACATTTAGGACGATCTACAGGCAGAAATAGAATATAACGTTTTCATTAGTGTGTAATCACCTGAATATACAGATACAGACGCAGCCGGTCACCTTCCATGGAGTCCGCCTTGTTTCTACAGGAGCCCAGAACAGACTAACATTGGCTGTTCCTGGCCACCGTAGTTTCTTCCACACACTTTACAGCTCGTTATCATTCCCAGGTCGTCAGACACAGACTTTATTTACTGACTTACATTGCTTATGAACACAAACAACAAACACTTGATGGTTTATTGTAAACTGAGAAATTAGCATTTATGAATAGATATTAACAAAACTTATAACTACATTATTACCAAAAAGAAAGTATAAACACCGACCAAAGGGATTGTTCACAACCTGACAACCCAAAACTATAGCGGCTGGGAAACGAGCTAAAAATGCAAAAGGCCCCATCTACAGTCAGTGGCAGACTCCATGGAAGGGGACCCGCTGCATTCCTATATCCAGGTGATTATACACTAATGAAAACATACCTATGAATATTATATCCAGTTTCTTCCAATAGTTTGTCCTAAATGTTACACACTGGACCTTTAACTGATCAATACAGCGTAAATCAATAACACTATTAGTTACTGCTAATTCCCTCATAACCTATATTCAGCTTTTAGACCCTTTTTTTGAATTTGGAAGAATTTAGAGATAAAATCAGCTTTTTTTTAATTGAATTTGTGAATTTGGTGAATATTTCCTTTGTCTCCAGTGCCCCTCCCACTATTATACTCCACCCAATCAGCTACGAGCAACGAGAATATTTTTTGCATAATATGTCTCTCATCCAATCACCTGCGAGCATTTCCACGGTTTAGTTCGCTTAATTACCCTACAGCCAATCAGCGTGTAGAAGGGCGGGGCTAACGCACTAGTACCAGTCACTCGTTGCTTCTGCGTCCAACGGCCACATTTCAAACTAGAATGGCGACCGCTGTCTGCGGTCTGCAGTCCAACGGCAGCAACAGTAAACCGGCGAAGATTCACCGAGAACACCGGCGGAAAGCGAAGGATTCAAAAAGGAGACAAGCGGCTCTGTTGTTCCTCAATAATATCTCACTCGACGGTCGGCCCCAGTGTCAGCTTAGCGATGGAAATACCGACCAAAAACCCGCCGAAGAGCAGCGACTCAGGGACCGAGAAGGCGCCGCGGTCGTGCCCCTACCGGCGGACTGCCAAGGACCGGTCGCCGAGGTGACAGAGCCCGCGGCGGGGGGCAGCGGCTCGTCCTCCAGTGTTCCAGGGGTGGTCAGTCCCACCCGACTTTCTTTGGTAATGTCTCCAGGACTTGCCGGGGCAAGTGCCGTGGGTGCCAACGAGGTATTTTTGGAGGGTGTCAGTGCGGCCGAGACGCTAACCCCGGACACCCCCATGTCCCCGGTGCCCACCGGACACCAGCCCTGCTCCCGTGTCAGGTCAACGCCCGCCGCACTGAGCCCGGTCCCGGCCGGTAATTCTGTGGATTCACGACCGAGGTGAGCATGTTAGTGGTCGGTGTCTCAACCGTGGGCCTTTAAACCACAGGCTGCTGACTTCCGCATAAAATGAAACCAGCAGGTATCACAAGAATTCACCTTCATTCTCATGTTAATAATGTTCCAGTATTTTCTGTGGTTTCACCTTTTTAACCTTTAAAATATGGATATTAATAACTGGTAATGGATGTGTAGATTTAAAAAAATCTATATTATTCATCACAATATTATCTGATAGTATTAATAATATACACTGTTGCTTGTTGGCCAATATTATTATTATTATTGGATATAAATCACAGTGCCTGCTTTAAAATGAGACATAACTCTTGTATCAGTTGTCCGATTTGTGAATAAATACCATATAAATCTTGTCCCTTCTGTATAAGTAGGGTTGGATTTGACCCTCTACTTTGCTTTTTACTACCAAACCTCTGATGTAAAGAGATTTAAAGAGAGAAAGAGTCCAGATTACAGAGCGAGCCAGGTCATGAGAAGGCTCTTTGTTTGGCTGATGTTATACTGGCATTTTCTTTTTTTTTTTTTTTTTTTATCTCTTCCCAGGTTGAGGAATGTCTCTGGATCTCCTGGACCCAAGGTGCCAAAGAAAGTCCACTTCATAAAGAGTATGAGGCAGTATGATACCAGGGGATGTAGGTCAGTCTCCAAAAACACATTTACATACACAAATACATTTACATAATACATGCAACAGATTAACTTATGAATAATTCCTGTCAGAGGAACGTAAAACAAACAAACAACAAAGGCTGTTTTATTTTGGACTCTGAAGGAGGCCTTTAACTCACAAGCACTGTTATACTTCTCCCGCTACTATTGTAATAAGCAGCTTAACTCTGGCAGAGAGAGACTTAGTTTGGACTGCAGAGAAATAACAGCAGCACAGCTGCTGCGTGGTGAGTGCTACAGTGAATTTAATCACCCTTGGAGGCTTTGCAAAAGCCAAAAGAGGTGCAGTGTGGAAATATAAAACCCTATTGCACCAACAGTAAGTTAACCCTAAAGAAAGACACGACTGACGATTCACTGCTGACTGTCTGTTCAGCTGGTTGGTTAGCAAACAAGAGTGTGGTGATCTATTTGTTTGGGTTTATTTCCTACTCTGTCTACAGGAAGACGCCGTCATGTAGTGTTTCTCTTCCCACTAATCAAACTATGTGTTTTTGTTTTTGACTCCCTTTTTTTTTTTTTTACATTTCACTTTACCGACATTTCATATCCACATACATGATGATGTGTCATGTGTTTTCTGCTGCTATATGTGTGTGTGTGTGAGTTAGTGATGTAGCAATCCCAGACTGCCCCACAGTCCTCAGTGCATGTTACTTACTGAGCTGCAGCAGAAATATCTAGGTTATATAACTAACAGTAATTAACAGAGGTAGATTTCTGTCGCGGTATTGTCCCCCTGTAAGAGATTTGATGTCTTTCCCAGAGACTGCTGACTGTATGTTATTGATTGGTGTTTTGTAAATAGCTGAACCCTGTGTGTGTGTGTGTGTGTGTGTGTGTGTGTGTGTGTGTGTGTGTGTGTGTGTGTGTGTGTGTGTGTGTGTGTGTGTGTGTGTGTGTGTGTGTGTGTGTGTGTGTGTGTGTGTGTGTGTGTGTGTGTGTGTGTGTGTGTGTGTGTGTGTGTGTGTGTGTGTGTGTGCGTGTGTGTGCTTGTGTGGCTGTGTGCGCTGTGCGCGCGTGTGTGCGCGTGTGTGCGTGTGTGTGTGTGTGTGTTCCTAGTTTGCCAAAAGCCCTGTTGTGTTCAGTGATGGTGGTGCCGTTAACCAGACTGTGAGTGGTTTGTCCACACTGTCCTCAGAACAATAGGTCCTTAATTATTTATTGCGTTATGTCCTCTGGTTTGTGCCTCTCGTGTGTTAAGAGTCACAGCGATAACCAATCGATCTTTCTAGAAAACAACACACGACTTCACAAACTTTTACAACCAGTACCGCTGTTCCTCCAAGACTACAGAAACTTACTTTTAACAACTATTTAATAGTCAATAGTATTTTCCAGTTTCTCCAATGTGAATAATTGCCTCTTTCCAGTGTTATATTATAGTAAACTGAATATCTTTAACAACATAAGAGATTTTAAAACATCACTTTGAGCTCCGTTTTAATATTTTCTGATGTTTTACCGACCAAACTACTAATTGTAGGACTATAAAGATACATTATGAGACCGTTATAGGTTCAGTGCGTAACACCTGTTGGCATTAGAATATAATATTTGGAGGTAAATAGGGATTGTTATTTTTTCGTTACCTTAGAACGAGGTGGGTCACCTTCAGTGGAGGCTGCCATGTTGAACCGCCATGTTTTACTACAGTAGCCCAGAACAGACAAAAAGAAAAACTGGCTCTAGATAGTTAGCTCAAGTTTTTCGTGCATTTTGCAGCCACCTTAGTTTCTACGCTGGTGAGTTGCAACTACATGCTGGGCTTTTTTTTTAAATCTGCGATTCAAGTATGTGAAGATTAAAATCTCTGAGAGGAAAAAAATAAATTGTGATATCAATTGTGGGATCAAAACGCAAAGAGTTTCACTGCACAAGAGCGGAAGTATGCATTGTTTTGCGCAGTATTTACCACAGACATAAAAAAGGGGGGGGTTCTGTAGTTTGATAAAGAAAATATGGTTATTTTCTCAATTATTCAATTAATTGCTTGGTGTTGTTTTGTCAGCAGTCCAGAACTTGAAGACATTCAGTTCATTATTATAGAGAAAACCAGACAAAATTGACATTTTGGAGGCAGAACAGAGGCTGTAGCCAGTCAGTTTTTGGTATTTCCACTTAAATACTTCTATCAAAATAGTTGCCAGTTAATTTTCTGTTGACCGCCTAATCATTTAAACTCTGCTTATCTCTGTGACTCGAATGTTACGGCGATGCACCAGAGGCTCTCAGGTTTCACCCTCCTGCTTTGAGCTTGAGATTGTTGTTGATAGCTGTTTGGCTCCAGTAGCGATGTAGATCAACAGAGAAGTGGCCCTGTGACTGATTTCGCTGTCACTGAAGCTCCAGCACTGATGAATATCGTGTGTACAGTAGCTGTTGAGTAGCAGTAACTGTAGTTGTTGCTTGTAGACTGACACACCATCTGTTCTGTCTGCCTGTACTTGCTGTGTCCCGCAGGATCGTGCTGATTTGTGCCAAGCGGTCGCTATATGCTGCTTTCTCAGTGCTGCCCTATGGAGAGAGTGCTCACCTCAGGTACAAAGAAAGCACCAACCCCCCCAAGCAGAGAGCACCCACCCCTCGCTTTTATGTTTTCATCCTGTCTGATCCATATCATCATCATCATCATCATCATTCTCAGCAAAGGGCAGCGTATTTGTGTGTGTGTGTGCCTCGTGTGGTGAAAATGACATAAATGCGACTCTTTCTGAACAGTGATCCTAAGCTGGAGGCTCAGAGACAAAGGCTGTCTTCTGTGGTGGCTGTTGACCTGCTTCCTTGCCTGGAGGGCGTGGAGCTGGGATCCTACGGAAAGGTAAATGTCACTCTTTCATACGGCGCTACGACAAGAAACAGAAATACACTCCCGTTACTCAGATAAAGCCGCTTGATTTGTCCTCCACAGACGGTGTCCTACGCTCAGTTCCTTTACCCGACCAATGCCTTGGTGAGACAGAAGAGCGGCGGCGTGCCAGAGAACTGCACAGCTCAGACCCCTCAGTCACGTTTCCGTGGCAACGGGCAGAGGAACTTCACCCCTGCTCGTCTGAACAACAGTGTGCCGCAGGAACCATGTATGACGCCAAAAAAACAACAGACAACTCGTTCACTTCTCCACTGTTCAACCAAACCCAGATTTTATTACACGCTCTGTTATATTTTTTTCTTTTTGTGTGTTTCAGGTGTAGAGGAGGTGACGGAGTACGATCCTAACCTGCTCAGCGACCCTCAGTGGCCCTGTGGGAAACACAAGAGGGTTCTGATATTTGCATCATATGTGGTGAGAGTTTGTTCCACTACGCTGATTTATTAAACATGTAAAGGAGAACACTGTTGTACTTTGGTTTAGGGGTTTATAGTCACTTGTTTTCTACTGGTGAGTGCCAGTTTCTCTGCCATGTAAATGGGTAACCACGTTTCTAATCAGCTGTATACAAGTATGTGTGTAAGGAGAGAAAATTACATGGAGCATGTTCGACTAAAACCGAAACTATACTGAATCTGCAGGTCTTGAAAAAAATCCTTTAATTCAGTTTCCTTAAAGCCAGGGTGGGGACTGTTGCATACAATTGAACATCCGATACATTCAAGCTCTTGCTAAACCAGTTCACACAATACTATCTATTACTATCACAGCCAGGTGAATTTTTCTGTATTTCACAGTATGAACAGGTATTAAGTTGTGTTCTTACTGTGGCCTTAAAGTCTTAAAGGTCCAGTGTAACATTTAGGAGGATCTATTGGCAGAAATGGAATATATATTCATATTTATAGGTGTGTTTTCACATACACGTGCTTTTTGTTACTTTAGAATGAGCCGTTTATATCTATAGAGGGAGCGGGTCCTATTCCATTAAGGCTGTTTCTACATTAGCCCAGAACAGACAAACCAAACAGAAACCCAGAGCTAACACAAAGTAGCCTCCAGAAGTCTGTTTCCACTGCTCAACATTTAACTGTTCAGACACTTTGGTGCTGTGAGGGAAATCTCTGCTCTCTACGTCTTTCCTCTCACTGCACATTAACACCAAAAAAGAAGAAAGAAGCCAGGATGGATGCAGTGTTTTCTGTTTTACTACAGTTAAAATAAGAAATCCACGCTGGTTTCTTTAGTGCACATACGGACTGTCTTTATTTGTTTCAGAAATAAGGGCCAGTTTAGTTTGACTTGTAAATTGTTGTGATATAGCTTGTAAAATGAAGCAGTTTCCATCTTCAGAATAAAATACATCCATTCTGTCCCACTCACATGATTTTATTGCTGCTGAGTAGATCATGTCACATGACTGAAACCTCTAGCATGAGAAACGAGCCTTACAAAGACAGTTTATAAGCAAAGCTGTAAAGCTTTATTGTAGCTATGATTCATGCTGGCACGAAGCCACTTCTGCTCTGACGTTCTGGTTTGTTCTTCATCTCTGCAGACGACTGTTATTGAGTATGTGAAACCATCAGACCTGAAGAAAGACATGAATGAGACTTTCAAGGAGAAGTTTCCTCACATCAAGCTGACTCTGAGCAAGATAAGAAGGTAGATATATTAATTACATTGCCCCTTGGATATTCAAATTCTCCTCCGAGAGCCTCTTGAAGGTCGTTGTGCTCTTTGTGGTTTTTAAATCTTCCTCACAGTGCACACATTCGCACTCTCTCTCAGAAAACTGATCAGTAACTGTGCTTCCTCCTCTCCACTAGCCTGAAGAGGGATATGCGGGCCGTGAGCGAGGAGTTCGGTCTGCAGCCGGTCACCACAGCGATGGCTTTTGTTTACTTTGAGAAGCTCGTGCTGCAAGGTCGCCTCAACAAGCAGAACAGGAAGCTGGTGGCAGCAGCGTGCGTGCTGCTGGCTGCAAAGATCAGCAGTGATCTGAGGAAGCCAGAAGTCAAACAGCTCATTGATGTGAGTTTCCACAGAAACATAAAACAACCCTCTTCCAGCTAATAAGAGAGTGGAAAAACCTGTAACACACGTAGTGACTACCGCAGTGTTATTTACCAAACATTATTCTGCCACACCCCATATTATTGTGATAAGAAACAGGAAACATGGTCTTCTAATACAATGCAGGTAAAGGCTCCATTGATAAAAGCTCAGTTATTTAAAGTGGTTAATGTTGAAGAATCTCCATCATACTGGACTCTGACTGCAGCTCCTAAACTGAACATTTAATCACACAATTTAACAATGTTCCCATTAAACATTGATTATATATTGTATGTACACTGTAGGGAACTGTTTTTTTATTATTTATTATTTAAGTTATTTATTATTTATAATCATTTAAGTCCCGTATCTACAGCCAGTGTTTGTTTTGCATGTTCTGGGCTACTGTACAAACATGGTGGTTTAACTACGGCAGCCTCCATACCGCCGTGTTTCTATGGTAGCCCAAACTCGACAAACCAAACACTGGCTGTAGGTCGGCTCTTTCATGAGTTGTGAGGCCACCGTAGTTTCTCCTACACACTTCAGAGCCCGTTTACATTCCCAGGTCGTGTTCAGTTAGTTGTAATCTCACCGATGGATGCCATGAAATCCCACACACTGGTCCTTTAAGGCAATTTTAAACACGTACGAATGGCCGACTCTGCCACTAACAATTTAAACTATTATATAGAGCGATAATAACAATGTAAAAAATGGATTTTAATGAAAAATATTTCATTAAAATCTTATGTATTATATCTTTTACATGAGTTAGTTTACCTTCATTTAGCGGCAGAGGACTCGTCTACAGTTAGAAAAGTGTAAATTAATCTATAATTCTTCCGTTTGATCCCCCCTCCTAGAGAAAATTACAATTTAAAATTGTCCGTTTACCACAAAAACTATTCTAACGTTTATTTGACAAAACATTTCTAAAAGAAGTATGAGTAATAAACAATAGACAAGAAACAGAGTGAAACCCACATTTTTAGACTCTAACCACATCACGTGTTCCTTAAAACCCTCCCCTCTTGTTTTTCTCCCCCTGTGGACGAGCAGAAGCTGGAGGAGCGTTTTCGTATAAACAGACGAGAGTTGATTCCTCTGGAGTTCCCGGTGCTGGTTGCCTTGGAGATGGGACTTTACCTCCCCGAGAGCAAGGTCATGCCGCACTACCGCCGGCTGGTGCAGCAGGGTTAAGACTGGATGCGGTGATGTCTGACACTCCGGCGTTTTCATTAATAACATCAGCGTGTGTGCGTGCGTGTGCGTGTGCGTGTGCGGTGTGTGTGTGTGTGTGTGTGTGTGTGTGCGTGTGCCAGTAAATAAGCTGTGGTGTTTGAAACAGATGATTCTGGTACTATTTATTTCCTGTCAGTCGTGACTCGAGTCACCAACTGTATATGATGAATAACTAGTTTACACTCGTTGGCATGTATGTGTCTCCCTGAATGTCTTTTTAAGCGTTTGTACGTGTGACGTTCTGATGTCGATCCAGTGATGAGCTCTACGTTAGAGATGTTCAATGAGCACGTTAATTGTGCTTTTATTTTGGTGTCTCGTGACCCTTTTTTCGGTATGTCCTGTTTATTTTTCACCTCCTATTTAAATGAAATGTAACACTGTGATGTTTTGTTTGTGGAAAAAACTCTTCTCCTGCACCTTTTTCTCATTACTATACACCGTCTGTATAGTATTTATTATAAAATATAAAGAACCATGCTGTTGATTTTTTTGTAAATGCCTTTTTAAATCCACTGTGACATTGCAGCATTTTTAGCCATTAACCTGAAACATGATACTGTAGATTGTGGGTGATTCTTTTAGTTGTAGTCTGTTATTACAGGAGGAAGTGGCCTTTTAATTTATGTTAATTCAATATTTATACGTCACATATTGTTCTTGAATAGAAAGAAAATATAAATTCACACTCTTGTGGCAGCTCTGTGTTCAGACTGATATACAGTATAACCACTGTGGTGTCACATTTAAGTAAATTGTTGTTTCATGTCGTTACCCAGGGATATGTTGTTTTTTTTTTTTGGTAAAATGCACTGGAATTTATTCCTCAATAGTCTGGCTAGTTGTTGTCGTACTTTTCAGTTCTCAGGAATTTTACTTTCTCATATCTTTTGAATGGCTCAGAAACTCTAACCCAAAGAGAAGTTTAAAAGTTGTTACTGTAGCTCTATCACTAAAATCACCTTTGCTCCATTATAGGTCAATGGAAGGTGAACTGATTGTAGTGCTTCAACAGAACAAGATATCCAACCATTGTGACTCTTTTTAAGTATGTGAACAGATGTTATGTTGAGTTGCTTCTACGAGTGCTAGACGGTATTAATCTGACTGCAGCACTCATTGTGTAGTAACTCTTCTGATTTGGAGGCCATTACGTGTACAAGTATGGAAGAAGAAGAAAAAAAAAAGTGCCTAAAAATGCAGTGGCGGTGAAACGGTTAACCATCTAATCATGTGTGATATTTAGCGTTTGACATTTTGTACGTCTTGCTGCTGTAGAGAATCTTTTTAAAATGTTGAGGTTGTTCTTGTCTGGGGAAGATAATGGACATGATGGTGATTCAGTCTGTGTCTGCAGTGGTGAAAAATGTATTACAATAAACGTCCAAACAATGTGTGTAACCGCAGAAAATGTTCTACTTGTATGGTCGGTGTCAAATGCGTGAATATTCATTGTTTTCATACTGTAAAATGAATGTTTTTGAAATATATTTTCAGACACTGAAAAGTCTTTGTGAGTGTTTTCTTTTCAAAGTCCAATCAATAATTTATAGTGTGTGTGTGTGTGTGTGTGTGTGAAGCTGTTTTTGTCTCCTCGGGGCGGAACAGGTACTAAAAGTTTACAACCAAGCGAAGGGATTGTTCATAAAACAGTTGTGTTTCTCATCACTTTACTGTTCCCTTGTGTTTGGACAACAGACTCGTAGCTGAAGTGAAGGTAGAATACATGTTCATTCAGATAAATCAGTAGATATTAATTCAACACCCTGCTGGAGGATGAACTCAGCATTATCAGCAAAGGGAGGGTCTTAGTGACAGTTTCTACTATAATTAACCATAATCTTTAACCTTACTGTGTAATAGTTACAAAACAGAGGAAGCAGCTAAATAAATACATTAAATAATAACGTTAAAGAGTTCTTAGTCCAAACTCATGTCTTCGTCGTCGTCCTTCTTGTCTTTGGAGTCTCCGTCCTGGTCTGACTTGGTCTCAGTTTCCATGGCTTTGGCAAAAGCTTCCACATCTGCAGTGGTGAAAAGGTCAGGAAATTAGTTTCATTATCAATTATTCAGTAAATTAGTTTCTTAATTTAAATGATTCATTAATTATTTAAGATATCAGCCCTGTATATAGAGGGATTATCGCACCCAAGCTTGTTTTTTTAAAAACATAAAATGTCAAAAACAAATGCAGCCAGAACTTAAAATTTCTCAGAATGAATATTCAAATATTAAAAAAACAAGAAATATTTTTGACACGTTTACAACATAATAGACAAATTAGAGGACAACGATCAGACAGATTTAAAAATATTAAGTTATTTTTAAACCAGAGAGGCTGAGAAAAAATTTATGTAACTGCAATCCAGCTAATTTGGTTTCATATCAATAAATGTATGAAGCAACTGTGAATGAACATTTCTTAACTGATAATCTATTAAGTCTAAAAAGTCATAGTGACTTGATCATTTATTATTAAATGGTGAGCAACAAGAATTAATAATTCATCCTTCATTAAATCATGAGCCACGCATTAGTTAAGCATTATTTAAGTATATAAATTGTACCCGTATTACAAAAGTGTTACCCAGTGTTCTCGGTGAATTATAACACAAACATTTGATTGAGCAGTGAAACAAACAGTTACAGTGTCTCCGCTCGATGTGGGCAAAACACTGACCTCCTTTGTTAGCCGCATCCACAGCCTCTGCAGGCAAGCCAAACTGGTTCATTAGAGGACCCAACTGCCCGGACGCCAGAGCGCTGCTGAACATGCTCATAGCCTGCAGAGAGACAGTAAATACCAAAGACCACAAGTAGATAAATACCAACAGAAAGGGAGCCCCTCATAATGACCAGACTCCTGCTAAAAGGAGAATACAGTATCTCATTTCACACACTGCGTCTGTGCCCGAGGACAGGAAAGTGTTGAATGTCAAACACAGTCATAAGCTGGAAATATGAGCCAAAGAGTGGTCTGTGTATTTATCACATATGTACAGGCTGAAACTGCCAGAGGTGGGACCCAGCCGTTGTTGTGGAAGTCGTAAGGAAGTCTTTGCACTCAAGTCCAGAGTTTTGAGTCCTAAACAAGTCATAATGCGCTCTTCACCAAATGTAATGTCATTTTAACAACAGGCATTTTAACCGGCGCTGTCAGATTGGTTCTAACAATCTGGGAAAGGAAGTGTCGACTTGCCGGGAATTAATAACAATAGTTGATTCAGGAAATAAAGGGAAGTTAGTTGATTCGGGGCACACTTTTTAAATAACATACGTTTTAATCTTTGGACTTGGGAGGGGGGGGGCGAGTTAAAAGGCTCAAGTCCAGGTGAAGTCCCAAGTCATTGGTGTTGCAAACGAGTCGAGTTGCAAATATTTTTTAAAGTCATAAAAGTTGTGTCTCAAGTCTGACTCGAGTCCACAACTTTGAAAACTGCTTACCAATAAGACAATCTGATGCAATTGTTAGATTATTGTTTGACCTTAAATTTCCAACATCTACATACGTCTGTAACTCAGAAATAATAACTAAAACAATACCAGGCTGGTATTAAACGGCACAATATAAACTTTCCCAGAACTAAAGGAAGAAATCACCAGTTTGTCCCATTGTAGACGACATTGAGTTACGACCTAACTGGAAACCACGGAGGGCGTCTGACAGCGAACACTCTACCTGCTGAAACTGAGGCGAGCTGAGCGTGTTGTGGAGCTCCTCTGTGCTCTGAGGCAGAGACTCTCCAGAGGGAAGATACGGCATCAACCTCTGCTGCACCTCTGGGTTGGCCAGGATCGGGGCCATGATCTCAGGTGTCAGGACGCTGGCGAGGTCCACTGCAGGTAACAGACACCACCGCTGACTGGTTAGGCTAAAAACATCTCCTCCACATTGTTTAACCTACTGTTGTAAATCACAACTATTTCATTATAATCAGAATCTAAATATTTCTGTTCTTTCTTTCAGCCTTTAGACGATGAGCAGGAGTTTAAATGTTGTGTTTTTATGTATTTTTCTGTGTTAGCTGACCTGTCTAACCTACAGTCGGAGTGACTAAGCAGTTCAGTGTCATTGGTACATTCAATTTCAGTGGGAAATCTTAGTTCTCAAGTCACAGATCTTTAAATAAATAACTAGTTTTAGGAAATGTGAGAGAAAGACACACTCAGGTTGCAACTCATTATTATCATAAAGAAATGTTTATCAATTAATCTATTTGTCTATAAACTGTGAAAATAAACTTTTATAATTCCCAGAGCCCTTTTCAACAGTCCAAAGCTCAAACATATTCAGTTTAACATCATATATGACAAAGAAAACATTTGAGAAGCTGAAACTACAGAATATTTTGACATTACTGCTTGAAAAATTAAGATTCACTTCACGTCATCAAAATGTCTATCCACACACCGATCGATTAATTCTCTTTTTGTTACACCTCTAAGACACACACAAACACTAGCAGCACCCCCGACAACCACCTTTTAACAACACAGCACCCACCAGGATCTCCATAGCAACCAAAGCTTTTTCACAAAAAAACAGCTGCCGGAGAGTAAATCAAAACCGTAAAGTTGAGGCTATAAAACAAAAGCAATGAGCTGAAACTTGTTACAGAGATAATTCTCACTACCCCTTTTATTAGTTGTGTGATAAGCTGTTAATTAAAAATTCTCTTTATAGGCGCTTTAACTCCTCTAATAGCATCTATAACACCTCAGCTAATTTAATTTCTATTCCTACACCTTCAGCATCCTCTAGTATGTTTTCAATGTGAATCAGCAGATGAAGTGAGGGTGATAAATAGTGTCTGAAGCAGGAAGGAGAGTTGTGCCTAATGTACTGTGGCGACAGACGGTGGTATTTGTAGGGCGTTCCTGCTTCTGCAACGAATGTAATTTATTAAGTTAAAATTACACAGTATTACAGAGACTGTTGCGTTCACAAGACTAATTATTTGCTGCATAATGAGTTGAAATTACACTAATTAGGCCTTATTATGTATTTTCCCCTCTGGTGGTTAGTTTGCTTTTTTGTCTTCTCTGACTTTTAAGGAGCGTAGTTTTCAGTCGGCCTGGAGCTACGTTCTCTACGGTCGGTCCCTCACCTCCCTGGCCGCTGGCCGGCACGTTCATGGTAGCCAGGATGCTCTGCAGGTCTCTCAGCTGGATGGGCTGCGTGGGGTTGGCTGCCCCCGCTGCCAGAGAGGACACAGCCGGGGTGGACGGGGTGGTGGCCGTCGGGGAGGCCGCTGAGGTGGCGGAGGGAGTGATGGGAGTGGTGGGCACCTGGGAGGAGCCGAGCCGACTGGCAGTGGAGGTAGAGGTGGGGGTGACGGCTGTGGACGGACTGAGAGAAGACAGAAATTAAAACTACCAAAACTACTTCTGCGTCAGTTATTTCGAGGTGAACTTTAAGTGTTGAAGTCGTTTTTTTAAGCAGAAATGTAAAAATATACTCTGATATATGCTGAGAATCTCCTGCTTCTGTTTGTTTTATATGAGAGTAACTTTAACATTGCGCCCTATCTACAGCCAGTGTTTGGTTTGTCCCTTCTGGGCTACTGTAGAAACATGGCAGTTCAACAAGGCTGACTCCATCGAAGGCGACTTGTAGCGTCTGTTGATAAAAATGTCTCATTCTAAGGTAACAAAAACACAATGATTCCTATGTTCAGGTGATTATACACTAATGAAAACACACCTAAGAATGTTTTATTCCATTTCTGCCAATAATTTCTCCTAAATGTTACAAACTGGACCTTTAACTGATCAATAAAGCGTAAATCAATAAAGCTATTAGTTATACACGAATGAAAACATCCATGAATAGATTCTCCTTAATGTTACACGCTGGACCTTCAATTCATCAATTAATCAAGAAAATAATGAAATAATTGTTAGTTGCAGCTCCAGATGTGACTGCATGTAACTGGTGTGCTAAGAGACAGTGATTTCCAAAGTCAATAATAAACCTTCAAGCTCAGGATTTATGTAAATGTGTATATAAAAGGGTAAATCTATTGATTACTGACACTCTCCCATGTTTCTTAGCAACGCCACATCTCCTTTGTTTGGTAATTTACCAGCAGTCATGAAATAATCACGACAACAAACAACCAACCAGGCCAAAAATACAAAGTGCAAAACAACAGGACACAAGTGTTTAAGAAGGTAAATGTTTCTCGGGTTAAGACACCTTGTGGAGGAGTTACTGGCTGCAGGAACGCTGCTGCTGCTGCTGCCCAGGAGGTTGGCCAAACCTGGACCGGCCAGTGCCCCGAGACCACCTGATATTCAGAAGAAACATCCATTATTCTCCTGAGACAGACAATAAACTGTATTTACCAAGATGCTCTTTTGATTAGCCAGTTCTCTCGGGGTCAGCTCTGCAGCCCTTAAGGATTTATTTAAAGAAGGAACGTACCGATCCCGCCCAGTCCAGTTGGTCCAATGAGCTGCATGAGCTGGTTGTGGCTCATGTTACCCAGAAGGCTCTGCAGACCTCCTTCCCCTGTACATGAGACAAGAACAGGTGACTTCCGGTTCTTAGACATTAAACAATCTGGGTTTGTGAGCGGCTGTTACCTCCCAGAGCTGACAGATCGTGTCCTCCACTGCCGCCGCTACCAAGAGCGCCAGGCATGGGCGGGTTGTTGAGATACTCGTTCACTTTACGGCAGTTCTCCTCATCCTTGTCGGTCTTTGGCTCCTGAGATCAGAAAAAAACAGAACAACGAGAGGTTTTTATCCCTTTTAACACTCATTGGGGATTAGTTTATCTGTGTACACATGAATCTGTTTATTAAGTTGTTGTTTAGTAGATTTAGAGAATATTCCCACGTTGATTTAAATTAAAAAATAAACTGGAAAGATGCAGTTAGAGTTGGTTAGATTATCGACTGTCAATGCTTATTCTGTATTTATTTTACTGTCCAGAAATTCCTTCCTCCCAAAGCTTTTAAAACCTTTTAAAATTGTATTACTTTAGAAACAAACACATTCCTCACACAGCAGTGTAGTGAATGTGTTGGGAACTATTTTCGGATTTAAATGTATGTTTGAATAAAGACTGAATGTGTTTTTGAATTGCAGTCTCTTTTATCGTTCAGTGTTTTAATCAAGTGACTACAGGCGTGTGTGGAGCAGACGGTCCAGCTGCGTACCTGCATCCAGAAGAAGAGTCTCTTGGAGCCGGCTTTGAACTTCAGCACATAAACCCGTCCAGTGGTGCACTGGTTCACCCGCTTGAACTCGCAGTCGTCGGGGAAGATGATCAGATCCTACGTCAAGACATCAAAAAGGGTTAATAATAAAAAAAGTTAAACACAAGGCCAGCATTACATTACAAGCAGACGGGGTCACCTACATCATCCACGTTCCCAGTCGTCCGATCCTTCCAGCAGAAGTGGATGAGGGAGTCGTCGGTCTGCTGGATGTAGACCTGACCTTTGCGCTTGTCAGGGGTCACCGTGCTGCCCTTCATGGTCATCTTGCCGGCCCGAAACTCCACCAGGTACTTGCTGGAGGAGCCGCGGGACCCAGACACCATGCTGGGGAACAAAGCTCCGGAGGCCATGATGAGCAGGACAGATTGCTGCAAGGGGGGGGAGGACAGACAGACAGACAGAGGGAGGAAGGCCCTCAGTCACAGTTACAGACAGACAGACAGGAGGAAGGCCCTCAGTCACAGTTACAGACAGACAGACAGACAGGAGGAAGGCCCTCAGTCACAGTTACAGACAGACAGACAGACAGACAGGAGGAAGGCCCTCAGTCACAGTTACAGACAGACAGACAGACAGCAGCAGACAGACAGGAGGGCTCAACAGACAGACAGACAGACAGACAGGAGGAAGGCCCTCAGTCACAGTTACAGGGGGGGTTACAGACAGACAGACAGACAGGAGGAAGGCCCTCAGTCACAGTTACAAAAAGAAACAGACAGGAGGAAGGCCCTCAGTCACAGTTACAGACAGCAGGACAGGGGTGTCACAGTTACAGACAGACAGACAGACAGACAGACAGGAGGAAGGCCCTCAGTCACAGTTACAGACAGACAGACAGACAGGAGGAAGGCCCTCAGTTACAGTTACAGACAGACAGACAGGAGGAAGGCCCTCAGTCACAGTTACAGACAGACAGACAGACAGGAGGAAGGCCCTCAGTCACAGTTACAGACAGACAGACAGACAGACAGACAGGAGGAAGTTAAGGAACGGCCTCAGTCACAGTTACAGACAGACAGACAGGAGGAAGGCCCTCAGTCACAGTTACAGACAGACAGACAGACAGACAGACAGGAGGAAGGCCCTCAGTCACAGTTACAGACAGACAGACAGACAGGAGGAAGGCCCTCAGTCACAGTTACAGACAGACAGACAGATCTATATATGGGCTGTGATTGAAACACTGGTTGTGGGAGCAGCTCTGGTCTTACTGCTGGTGATCTGCTGTGTCACATGAACATGTTATCCAGCAGTAAATTCATTTATACACATTTTAAAAGGCAGCTCTTGTGTGCACATTCATTCTGTGCATGTTTCTAGACTCACAGCCTATTTTAATGAATGGTTATTATTTTATTAATACCATTTCAAGCATAATAAGACTGACACAAATACAACATATTTACCAGAGGATATGATAAAGAAGCAGATTATAGATATAACGGGACTGGAAGATAACTCATCCCAGTGTTCCCATTATAAAGCAGCTACTGGAGCAGTAGCCACAGATGACTCTGCATCCTGTAGCAGGCAGTGTGTTTGCAGCTCAGTGGGATCCCGACTGAGCCACAGTTTCACATTTAACGCACGCAGACTGAAAACACAACCCGGTTTCTACGCTAACAATTCAAAAACATATTCAAGAATCTGATGTTTATACTTACATTCACTCACTGAAATATTGTTCGGCCGGAGAACGGTCCAACGCACTGAAGATGATTGTGATTGGCTGGCTGCCGCCGGTGCTTCGCTGTGATTGGTCGAACCGTGTGTCAATCGAGAGGGCTTTAAATCCACTGCGCATGTTCGGTAGAGATAGCACAGCCTGTTTAGTTATAATGAACCTGCATCTTCTGTTTTCTTTATATAGATATAGATCAGATATATTTGGCACTATTTATTATAATTATTAATATTTTCTAATAAGGCATCATTTAGTTTAGTTGTGACGTATTGCTTTATTAATGGTTAATAAATAAACTGTGTTGTAGATCAGTTAAAACCCATAAATAATAACATCCTCTGGGAAAATGTCTGCAGAGGTAGATTAGTTATTAGATTTATTTTTATTCAAGCATATTACCAAAATAAATATAAATGAAAACCCATTAATATTTGGTTTTTTAAATTTATTTTCTGTTATTCTATGAATTTAATCTTTTTCTCTGTGTGTGTGTGTGCATTAAGTGAATACATAATCACCCACATCATGTATATAATGTAATATATCACATTGCCCACTCACTATTTATTCCTTTGCACTATTTGTTTACAATTTACAGAAACATTTAACTTGTATATATACTCTGTATTTTGGTTGTCATTTTTATATACATGTATATATGCATCTATTTTGTTCGCCTACTTGTGTGCACATAATATGTTTTTTTTAATCTATTTTTGTTCATCTTTGTATTGCTGTATGTCTACTTCTATTTTATTACAATTTAAAAATTGCTCCAGGAACTGCAGGCAACATAAAACCGGAGTCAAATTGCTTTTATGATCTTGGTTTAATGTGTTTGATAAACACAAAGTACAAGTGAGGGGGATGAGAATATGATTAGTTTTGCAGGTATTGGGTCACAGAAATATTTAAGCATAAAAACAACTGAAATAAGGAGACTTAAAAGTAGCTTTTTGACACAGGAGTCCTTATTCAACATAGGACTGCAAGATGAGGCAATAAAGCACAACTCACTTTAAAAACCATGAATCGTGTGCTTTGTGCTTTAGAGGTGCATATTCCCATAATCCCAAACAAAGTTAGAATTAATCAAATTTCCACAACAGAACTATGAAACTCACAGTGGCCTGGGGATCTGGGGTAGTTTCAGCCTTCATGTGGAAACTGGCTTCTCAGTTTTAAGTTAAATTAAAGTTTTATAGAGACTGTTTGGCTTTGACTGTTTTAGAGGCCTGAAGATGTAAAATGTATCCAGATTTTTATAAGAAACAAGCAAAAATTAAAACAAAAGTCAGAAAAATATATAATGTTGTGCAGCAGAAACACATTTTCATGCCTATAAATCATCCTGTGACCGTTGGGAACCTCTGGTATAAACACACACTGGTGTCATAAGCTGCTGTCAGAGGGTGAAACTGATGTGTGTGTGTGTGTGTGTGTGTGTGTGTGTGTGTGCTGAAAGCAAAATCAAACAGGGATGGTTGTTTCAATAGCCCATAATTTATTTCTCAAGTATGCCATGTATGCATATGGTTGTGTGTGGATAACAGAATGAAGAGGGGGGGGAAATACACAAGATGAATGCACATACAATGTAAACATTTCAAATAGATGCTAGACAAAAACAACAGGGTAAAAGAGCGTGAGATCAGAGGAAACATCGGACCGAGCCTGAAACTGAAAGTGTCTGCAGGCCTCACAAAGTGCTTTGAATTCAGAGTAAAGTTGAGAGCAGCTGGGGGGAGACATGATGTAGGATATTTCACTAAACAATATGTGCAATGGACTGTGAGTTAGTGCTCAGAAACTAAAAAACGGTAACAGCCGCTCTGCTGTATGTATGCAAGCGTTATATTATATTATGAGCACACAACATTCATTAACTGCTGCCTCTGTAGTGTCTGAAGCACACGTTGGCTAATAGCTAAAGAGGAGTTAAGTGTTTTATTTTTCACATTTCAGGAGGGCAGACTGGATGGATCAGTTTCCAAAGGTTTATGAAGGCTACAGTGTTAAAAAAAAAACACAGTTTTGACTGATAGAAAAATGACTCGGGGCATCAAACTGGAAACAGTTTGTCCCTGTGTGAAGAAAAATGTCTATAATCAGGAGTCAGTACGACACAGCTTTCTCTTTAAAACCAGAGCTTTTCGAGCTGTGAGGCGGAGGGAGAAACTTCCTACTCATTCTCGGAGTCATAACTCAGTCAAAAATATATATAAACACATATTTTTAGATTCAGTGTGACTCAGAACTTGCCTGAGAAACATCACAACGTTACATTTCCTTCCGTATGAGAAGAATCCAGTGATTGTTGTCTGTACATCAATGGGGCACATTACAAACAGGAACGGCTAACAGCTAATTCGGCATATATTTAACGGTGCCAATTTGTCAAAAATGTAAACAAATACAGGCTAAAACACAAAACAAAAACAGGGTTCAAGTTGTAGCCCACAGCTAACTGGATAACTGACTCCATGGCAACATTATACTTCCTGTTTACAGCCCCCAAATGATGGGATCTGTAGTTCCAAAGGTTGGAGCACGATTATGCCCCGAATTGAATTAATACAAAGAATAATAGGATTATTATTGTTTTGACTAAGGCTCAGAATGTCCCATCAACACGCTTCCTATAGTGTCAGACTTTGAAAACTCCTGCTTTAAACCAATACGTGTCCCTTTGCTTTTACCGTTTTATGTGAATGCATTTACACTATTATACTTAGTGCAGAAAGAGGTTTTTTTTTTTTTTATGGCTTTAACTTGTGTAAATAATCATCTTGGTGACCATGCATGCACCAGTTATTATACACATCATCTATGTTACAGAGGACAACAATATAATGTACCAACAATATCTGTTTACTGTGCCAGTAAACATGATCATAAGCAGCTTTCATCTCTACTGTAAGTCTCTATTCACAGGAAATTATCACACGTGTGACATTTTAGGGAGGTTTACAGCTAACTAAAATAGACATCTAATATTCAAATAGGTATACTATATAAAAGTAACAGATGTGTTTAAATAACCCCTGATATCTGAATGCAACTGGACAGAAGTGTGTGGTGCGTCTACAGGTAAGATTATGGTTGAGTACCTGAACTAAAACTGAATACATCCTCTAGAAGTCAGAGCTTTGTGTCCTGCAGCAGCGTGGCCACACACAGACAGGTGACTGGTTTAAAACCCTCAACGACAGGTGAGTAACATACACGTGGACTATTATTATCAGAATCATGATTAGGGCATACAAAGATGAAGATGTTTGACGTCATTAACAGTAAGTAAACTCTAAAATTCTCCTTAATATTACATTTCTCTTGCGGAGAAGGTTCACAGTCATAATCTGATAAACTTGTCTGATAACATTCGGATATCAGCTGTTCATTGATTCACACAAAGACACAGTACCAGTGAGCGTCTGGACGTCACAGAGACACAAATCTTAGATGCTGAGAAATAAAGTGGATCCTATCAGAGAGGAGATTCTTCACACTGAGCACCTCCTGTGTCAATAAATGTTGGGACAGTCAGTGTAATTCCTGTCGAAGTATCCACCTGTGTACAGCCAATCCTCAGCTCCTGTATGAGGGTTTGTTCCCGGCTGAAACCACCTGAGGAGACATAAAACAGGCAGGACCCGTTTTTAATTACAGGGTTATAGGAAATATTACACAATACGAGCGATGCACAGCTCTTGTAGCTTGTTAAAATTATGATTGATGTCAGTGTACCAAACAGCCCATAAAGAAAGGAGAGTATGTTTTATTCCAGCTGAACTGAACTGTGATGACGTGAGAAGTTTTACTCTTTTTAATAATTTTATTCTAAAGTATTTAACATAACAGAATTCCAAACTTCATTAATGTGCTTACAGGATCTTCTTTGTCATTCAGACAAAAAGGACTTTTATGTTTCAGACAGAAAACATTTACAGAAAAGAGAAACAATCCTCGTCTGATATTTGGCATTTGTTTTGCAAGAGGGAGCAGTATAAAGCACAGAATAACAAGCCACTCGGTTGGTATTCAGACCAAAATCAGCCTGTTTGTGGGGGCGTATAGTTTAGGACACCAGTGAGACAACAAAATGTGAACTAGAAAGTAACAGATTAATGCGTTTTAAAGCTTATCAGACACGAACTACTGTTACTCAGCAAGGTTTTACAACACAAATTGTAAAACCTTGCTGAGTAACAGCATGTATGCGATTGGCAGAAGCAGTGCCTTGACGTATGACATCACATTGCGGCAAAAGCTGATCCTGGTTAAACCTTTTTGCCGGAGTCCTGTTATTTGGAGTAAATATTGTGAATGTGATTCATTTAGCTGTATAGACTTAAAACAATTTGTGTGAGTGAACATTGAAAATACAGAACAGGAATTTTATTACTTTTTTCCCCACAAATGAGAGAAAAAAATCTTTTTTATAGACTGATCTGACACGAGAAGAATTTCACAGCCTCAATTTCAGTCTTTCATGGTTTACTAAACTTATAAACATTTATTAATTGAATTTCTCTCTGTGTATTTAATGCTGTGCTGCTGCCGCCTTTAAATCAATCCGACAGCATTCAGTCCAGACTAGTGATACAGACATGTTACTGGGTCCGACATATTGTGACTTTTATGTAAAGGTGACTCGGGTGTGTTATTCTAATAATACATTATTGTAATGAGGTGCGAGCCTGAGAGGGACTCTATTTGCAAGCTTTTCACACCTTGAAAAGATGTGTAACTTGTTATAAAAACCTCAGAAACACACCTGGTTGACCAGTCCTCCTCATCCTTGGAGCGTTCCCTGCGTGAGGCTCGTTGTTTCTCCTCTAAGCGCTCTTTCTCTGTACTTGCTGCGTCTATAAAAAGAAAACCCCACAATAATATGAATGAAGACGCCTTTACAGACTCACACGAGCTTCTCTCAGCATTTATGAAAGTCGTGTTCATGCGAGGTTGACGTCACCTATGTCTCCGTTTTCCATGGCTTTGATGTCGGGCCTCAGCCGGCAGTCTGTCGGTGCCAGTAGTCTCTCCATGCCGGGCTCCACCTCGTT